ACCTGTTATTAAGCAAGAATAAGTTGTTTATACTATATTAAAGAGGTATCCATCTAGTTACGAATTATGCCAAAGGATTTTAAAATGTGTATATTAAATAAATTATCGAATATCAAAGTAATACTAATTTAGAAGTAATTTTGATAATTGCAAGGAGCAAGTTGAATTTCACTCGCGGTAATATTTCTATGAAATTTTCTTTATTACATTTATTGTATAAATCTGAATAGCGCAAAGATTATTTTGATATTAAAAAAAATTTGACAAATAGTCGATATTAAACGCTGAATATTTTACGTTCAGGAACATTAAAAAATTTCTAAATTTATAATTATTACTTTATATAAATGTTCCTTTTGACCAGGATTAAATTTTTAATGATTCGCAAGGAATATCAAGAATATCGAGTCACGTAACAACAAAACTAGAGAAAACCATACTTTCACAGCCAGCTATCCTAAACAACAAATGTTAAACGTGTACCTTCATTCTTTCATCCTTTCCCTCCCCAAAGAACATCCCCTGTCAGGATCCTAGACATCCAATGATCGAATGGCCGATGCGACATCGTTAAACGTCGTTAAATTCGCAACACCACGCGTTCCCATAGCCTCTCTCTCTCCTCCTCTCTCTCTCCCCATGGCCTCCATGGTCCCAATGCTCGAAATATTCACCAACTTTTTCTCTCTCTCTCTCTTCTCTTCCGAGTTGTAACGGGCGAGCGCCAGCATCACTGCGAACTATGCATCCCCCACGCGAGATTTGCACGGCTTTCATTGGCTCAGTTAAGTTTGATTAATCTATTCGAGCGTGCCATTGTTCGAAGTATCGCGACTCACCCTATTGGAGGATCCAATGGATGGGGGAGCCGCGGCTGCTATTAAGGGGAGCAGCCATGGTGTCCGCGTGAACTGGTTTTGTGTGTTTTTCGCTGCGCCCGTTTTATGCCCGCTTCCACGTCTCCTTAAGCCGACGATGATTTGTGCACGGACCTTTTTTCCCCTCCTTCTTCGTGCAGGGGACACCGCTTCCTAACGCTCGACCACGCTCGCGATATCGATGGTGGATAATAGATATCTAGATGCATGGAGGAGATGGAGTGGAAGAGTTTGTTTTATTTTATTTTATTTATTTATTTTTTTTTTTTGATGAAATTAATAATAGAAAAGTTCGTTCACGAGATTGTGAACGATACTTTGCTTTGTTACGATTTCGATGAAATTGGAATGGAAGAAGAAGAGAGAGATTCATTTTTCAATAAAAGAAAAAAATTTCTTTGTGTAATGATTTTTATCAAGGATGATCAATGGTCAGTTTAAATATTAGATAAAAGATTTAATAAGTAATCTTAGATTTTTTTTTTTTTCAGAATTTTTAAAAGCGTGAATATAAAAATATCGCCACGATAGATGAAGCGAAATAGTAGAACGCATGCGATCGTAGAGGATTGGCGATGACACCGCCCCTAGTTTTCCGTCGTGAGGGTGCGGCTTAAAACCTGGGAGGTCGTCACACCTATCAGCTCTGCCGTTACCGGTACATCTGTCTTGGTTACTGCGACAAAAAAACTCACTGCATGGGAAATAAATAACGCTTTTTATAAAAAATGCCGAGAAAATATTCCTGAATTATCGTAGAAAAATATCAAACGATGTAATTTAATAATTTTGTTCGCAATTTTCAACGAAATTAATCGAATTAAATACATAAAAATATACACGTATTGCGATATAGAACAAAACAAAAAAATAATATCAATTATTTTAAAACTAAAAATTATTCTCCAAGAATCAATTGATAAACCAATATACAAATTTTATTAAAAATATTAAAACTTGTAGACAGAATCGTATACGTTTATGAGTTAGAGTTTGAGCTTTCTCAGACCCCACATACAGCTTTTCATTCGAATCGTGATTCGCTATTGAATGGTCCCCGCCCTATACTCCATCCCCTTTGGGTGTGCCATAGGGTTGCTTAGCCGGCGGTCCCTTTGTGTCTCTGCGTTCTCACCCCCATTGGCAATCGTGGCCGATGTTCCGTTGGCCAATCTGTTGCTCCAAAGTTCTTTAGTATCTCGGGTGTAATGCGGTAGGTCAAGGGCGGGGGAAAATTCTCTTCGTCGGCGAGGGCTCGTTTTAAGTCGAGCGTGAGAATTCAAAAATGGAAATTTCTTATAACGTGATTTATTAATTCTCAAATATCTTTATTATATTTCAAATACTTCTGGCCGAAATTTTTATAAAATATTCCAACGCATAAGAGAAATTTCATTTGTCTTGTACAATACCAACATTCTTGCATTCGTATCTTGTGCATTCGAACAATTAAGATATATTTATATAGCTGCGAAAAGACGTCATATAGAAAAAAATTGGGTGCCAAGAGACAAACGTATCGATAAAATTAACAGATCCGCAAGCGTGTCGTTCCAGGTCGAAAGTTAAGAAGAATCGGGCGAATAGTTCTGCCACGTTACCTTGTACAAACGAGGCAAAAAGCGGAAGGCCGACCACCTACTTCGACTGCACAATGGGCCACAAATGCGTGGCGACAGGAGCAACAGATATACGGCAGGCTGATTGCTCGTTGTCGCTGGAAGTCTCGATTGTCGGCTCTCCTTCTGCGGGGAGAAGTATTCCATTGCCGAAAGCTAGTGTCTCTGGTATCAGCCGAGAGTTGATCAACAATTGGACGACCGAATCGGGACCAATCGGGGGCAGGTCGGTTTTATTAAATGTAATTTAATGGCTGCGCCCACGCGATCGTGAGTGAAGTTAAGAAGAATAGAACATTTTGCTTATTCGAAGTTTTTGGTTTGAATGAATTTGCTGCAACGACAATGATAACTCAAAAATTGTTAACATAGGACACCACATTTTTTTCTGTGTTATTACATTTATTGGTAGGGATATGCTATTCAAATTTGAAATTTGAAATTTTTGTATTTCTCTATGCACTTTTGTAGGGATTGGAAAGATTCTTCTTTCTCCTTTTTCACAATTACGTAAAAATGCGATAGATTAAGATAAATATATTTATGAATACTTTGTTTTTTAGAAGTGAATCACTGCAGAAGAGGAAAATATTAAAAATGAGGTTACAACTTACAATTTGGAAATTATTTTAAAGTATTTAAAAGTCATTTTTATTTTATAGATGGAAATTCTTTGTCGTAAGTTTGAAATAATTATGGATGTAATTAGAGAATTGAATATTACAGGAATCAGGATAAGGATAATAGTATCGACAAAGTGAAAGTAATAAAATAATGAATCAACAATTCCTTTTAAATGTTCTTTTATTCTGCAACAATGAATTATATATTGGCAATTATAATTAATGAGTACAAGAATATTATGTGCATCGAATAAACTCGTCTTTGTACATAATAACCGCAATTAACTGGCCAATTAAATCATCCAATCGTAATAAAGTCGTTTCAATAATAATAATTTTCGATAGATATTTGACCAAAAAACAAATTTAATCAGTTTTCGACCATCCTTAATTTTTTTTAGAGAGAGAAGGCAATTTTAAGGCACCTCGTAGTGACTCGATTAATTACCAATTACCACAATTTCTAACTATACAAAATAAAATCTAAAAATACAAAATTTAGAAATGTATGGAATTATAACAATATTTTATTGCATAATATACGCAATGTTTCTCTCATCGTCTCAGCTTCGAAAATCTTTTCGATTCTTTATAAGCAGTTTATTTACAACTATTTAAGTAATAGTTCGGTAATAGTTCGTATCAATGCTGTCAAATGTCAAACAAAATTTGTATGATAATTTAATTTTTCTTATAATGATAGCTTAACGCGTGGAAAGTGACTTAAATGTAAGTTCCTTCCATTAGGAATTTTCCTTTTTATTTTTCTCCCCCCCCCCTTCTTCAAATCCGTGGACAGCAATATGGTTACATAAATGTTAATAACTCTTTAGGATAATTGTTAGTGTCATTTAGTGGCATAGATTTATTAATCATATAATAGAGATACTTAAATATGCACATGTTAATTAATGAAATATGATTTAAACTGTACAGAATAGTGAATATACGTGAACCTTATTCAACAACAATAATAATTATCAACAAATTTTATGACTTCTTAATAACCAACTTCTTCGTTAAACAACTATAATGATTCAATGATTTCGCAAAAAAAAAAAAAAAAAAACAATTTAAAGCACAATTGTTAATATATTTGAAAATGTAATATTAAGGCATAATCTTTTTAAGTATTTGTAATGCCAAAAAATAATATGAATGACTTTTTATCATCCGTAATATTCGAGTATTAATGAATAAATACAAGCCTCCAAAAATTAACGTTTTAAAATTCTTCTTCCGAAGAAAACAATAACTTTAAGGATCTAAAAGAAATTAAGATACCTTAAAATATAATTAACAGAAATTATACATATACTTCATCTCTACAAGAAAAAAAAAAAAATAAAAGAAACGATAAAAACTTACAATAGATATACAATGAAATATTCATGCTATATACACGTATTTGCATCTCATGGCAGCTTTAAAATTATAACTTAAAAAATTTCAAAAAAAGGAGCTTTTCAATTTCTCCAGAAACAATTTATAAATATAATATTTATATCACTCTACGTTAATAGATAAATTTTTATATCGTCATTTCTTACTAAAGAAGCATTACTTATTATATCTTTTTCCATGATGTTTTGTTGCTTCAATTTTAAAAGGATTGCAATACTCGTGAGATCTTATGAGATCTGATGAAATCATATTTCTTCATTTATAAATGTCAGTATTGAATAAAGTACCGTGTACTTTATTTGCCCATCGTTTCTGCAATAGAAAACTCGTGGATAATGTCTTTTCAATCTCTTTCTCTTTTTATTCTTCAAAATAAGATTTTGATTTTAAAAATTACTTCTCTAAAATATCTCTATTAATATTTTTTTTTTTTAATAATACTCGAACGAGAGTATCTCATAAATATCGCCATCCATCCTACAAATATCCGATCACGATCATAATCTTCGTAGAATTATAAATAAAAAAAGAATTGTAAATATCAGGTTGGTTCCCAACCAACCTGTCTTTCAGAAAAAAATCACCGTTCTGATTCTTAATTAATTAATAATTTTTAGCGCTTCTTCATATGAATATATAATTATTTGCATTGTCATATTCCGCAGAAAGTGTCAAGCTCATCATCCCCTCGCTATATAAATTTTTTGTTAACCCAAAGACAATATAATGCTGTTAGTCATTTCATTGACATTAATCGAAATCTTTGTTAATTTTTCAAATTTTTATCCTTACCTTATACCATAAGAGAAAAGAGTCACAAATTGCTCATAAATATTGACAAAAGAATATCGCAACTCGAAAAAGGTTGAAAAACACTTTAAGCTAGATTAAACATCGCTCTCGCCTTTCCCTCTCCGCCATCTTTTCAACTGTGAACTCCACGGTTCAGTGAACTCTGCCACAGACTTGGGACTCTATACCGCCCAAATAGGGATAACCACTCTTCGCCTCGCTGGGGCTGTGAGGCGTCACGTGATGGTTTATCGCTGCAGGGGTAGGAACCCCCGAGGACGCGCCCTGAACCATACACGCGCTCATATTCGACGCCGTGGGGCTCACGCTGCCGCTCAGACTGCCCAAATTCAAGTTGCTGGAAGTTAAATTAGAAGCCAGATTGCTGCTACCGTAGTGAGATGCGTTGAACAATCTGCAACAAAAAAAGAGGAGGTATGCAATGGACGTTTCCTTGGATTTGTTCAACGGGTGGAAAGAGAGGTAGAGTTAATTCCAATTCTATTCGAGGTTCCGTTACGAAAAAAAGGAAGAAACATAAAAGTTGCTAAAATCGATCAACTTTAAATATTACGTTTAAATAAAAATATAATAAAAATATTTTTATAATCGATTAATAATATAACAACAAGTCTTCCTTAATTATATTAATTTCGTTTCATCTTCGATTCTTTTTCCTTGTAATACATCGTCGTAATCAAAAGAACCGTGATGACTATCTCGAATCAGTTTGGATCCAAGACGAGGCGTTCACCGAGAGATCACCGATGCGGAAAGCAGCGCGTTTTACACCGAATGTAAAACAACGAGGCGAGGCCACGTTCCATGGGGCAACCGTATCAAAGTATTAAAAACGCGGTGCAGTTCTGGCCGCGCATAACCTCAGGATGAAATTCTCTTTTCGTTTCTCGCGACGTTTCAAAGTAACCGCCGCGGCCACTTCTCCCTCGTTTCGCAGTGCAATCAAACCTTGCTGCTCGTTTGCAAACCGATACCGAGCGGGCACAAGCTTCACGCTCGCACACGTATACGCGGAGTACGAATCGTTTAGGGCGTGTCGAGGCTGCCAACAACCGATTTCAAAACGGAGTAGCGGCCCTTTTGACCGTTTCGGCACAGCAGCACCGGTTAAGGACCCCTAAAGCGTGCCGATGTTGGAACCATTTAATTCCTCTCCTCTTTCTCTCTTTCTCTCTCTCTCTTTTCCCTCATCCTCCCTTATCCTCGTGCACCCCCTCTCCATTTTACTTTTTTCTTTCTCTCGTCCTCCCTTAATTCCTTCTTCGAAACCTTCCTTCTTGGTGTGGCGGAAGCTGGAGGATTTATCGACTGTCCCCGTGCCCCGGTCTACGAATCTATTTTCCCCTTGGCCAACCATCATCCCACAAATCACGTTTATTTCTATGGAAGTGTTAATGAATTCCGACGAGGCTTAGCGGGAATGAATAATTTATAATCGGCGATCGGTGAAATTAAGGGAGGTTTCTTCGAGGTGGGGAGGTTTTTGGATCTTGAGGAGGAATATGGAATATTTATACTGGTGAGTTGAATCAGAGTTGGTTATCAGAAAGCAATAATTATCTCGAATATTCCTCTTTCGAAATGTGTGAAACAAAAATGATAAATATCTGAAGAAGTGAAGTAAAAAATAAATTTATTTGAGAAATGGATTATTTTTACAAATTGATTTATTCGTGTTACGATAAACGTGGAACTGTTTATCTGTGATTATCTTATCTTTGAATTTAATCGATCCTTAATAATTAATTACAATGTAATAAGTTTATCTCATTAATAACTCTGACAAATTGTAAATTCTGGTATGTGTAAATTATCATAGAAATGTGAGTAATTCGTGTTACAAATTGTACAGAATTTATTCAGACAAAATTAAATAAAAGAGCGAAACTTCAATTATTAATAACATCTTACCAAATCAATAACTTCGCTATCGAAACTCACTTATACCTTTCCTTAAAAAAAAAAATAAATAAATAAAAAATAAGAAATCTCGAAAATTTTAAGTGGTCCTAATTCGATGACCAGGGACCATATCATTTCCTTTTCCTTTTTTTCCCCGAATCTTCCCGAAACCTCTTACACGATTAATATTCATTTCATGCCTGGCCGTTCTTTCCCTCTTTAAACATCCCAATTTCCTTTAAATTTCGCCAGAAATTTCATCCCACATCATTGTCGCATAAAAATCTCTTCCAATCTTTTTCCAATCGGTAAATTAACCACCAAAATTTCCCACTTATACCTTCAATCCCAGCGACACGACGCAACACAACAACGACCAAATTTATCGTAAAAAAAAAAAAAAAAAAAAAAACCCGACCGATGATTATTGCGCGAGTAAGAACGCGAGCGGAATCCATAAAACGCATGCGCGTTAAGCGCGCCGCGCCTTGCCGCGAAATTCAAACGATGGCAATATCGTCCGAGTCGAATCGCGTGGCGCAATCTCGTCCAATGAGATTTTCATGCTTGTGCAAGTATCAAGAGGAGCCGATAAAATGGATGAGAAACGTTCGTGGTAATGAAAGAATTTGTTGCAACCGAAAATCGTGGCGGTCGAGGTCATATTCCGCTTCCGGGGTGAAAGAGAAGGCCACGAAGTCTCCTCCCCGGTTAAAGCTGGATCATCGGCGAAGATCAAGACCCGCGTTGGATTATTAGCCGGTAGCGTTTCATTACGGGGGCCGAAGAAGCAACATAATTGAGGACCACACAGAAAACGTGTTGGTGGGGTCTCGACTGCCTCACCATGCCGACCAAACGGCTCTCTCTCTCTCTTTCTCCTTTCTTTCTTCTTTTTTACTCTTTCGTCTCACCTGTTCCATCTTTTCAAGCTTTCTCTTTATCCTCGCTGCTTTTTCCTGCTTTTTCTGGAGAACAGGATACATCTCTTTCGGGATTCGATGAGAAGACTTGAAATATTCGCATAGTTCGAATGAAATGAAATTTTTTTGCAGAGATATTTCTTCAATACGTTTCGTGATCAAATGGGGAACAATGAAAATTGTTGTTATGTATAACGAATATATTATAAAAATTAATATGACAATATGTATTTCTTTAATGAAAAGTAAAATAAAGAGAAAAAAAATGGATGGTAATATATATTCAGTGATTAACTATAATATTTTGATATTTGTTTCAATTCATTTTAAATTAATTTAATAAAAATTAAATGATGATAATTTTAACTTAAAATCTAATGGAAAATTTATATATATATATATATATAATATTCAGTGGAAATTTTTCTTAAGGTTTCTATCGTAATAAATTACTACACATGCTCGTAAAGATTTCGAAATTTTTTATTAATTCTTTTAGAAAAATGCACTTAAATCACGATATGTGAAAAGATAATTTGTCGATTCTCTAAAATGACTCAAAAAAAAAAAAAGAAAAAAAAATTTGAAAAGCAATCGCTCAGTTCAATTTTCCTCTCTCGTTTCTCTCTACTTCCCAGATTCCACTTTCAATTTCTCACTACTTCTCCTAAGACTTTCGTCGTTTGCGGTCTGCGTTGCAGCGAATTGGCCTCTGCACTCGGCGTGTAACAGCACGCTGCAGCAGGCGAGCATTTCGCCAACCTGTTATTACGCCACAATGGCTGAATTAATTGTTCGAAACACCCCGTGAGCACAAGCTGCTCCGCTCTTTCTCCCGGATTTCTTTCCTTTTTTCTGCTACGCTTTCCCCTCCGCCAGTTTTAAACGTCCGGGATAATGTATCTCTACCCCGACAACGTGTACTTTGCTTCGATAGTGGACCTCGTGGGGGGTCCTTCTTCTTCTTTAGCTTTTAAGTTTTGCAAAATGAGAATCAGCAATGACACGAAATTTCACGAAATCTCTCATTGAAGTTATTCGCGAGTTAAAAAATCGGTGTTTTTGAAATTGAAAGATTTAACAATATATAAATTGTATCCTGTCATCGATGATTATTCAAAAATTTTTAATTCGTATGTTTCGTTTAATTTAAAAAAAAAAATTAAGATTCATTCCATCTAAAAAATCGCGTGATTATTTTGATTGAATATAGAAATTATTTCAACCGAACTATACTAAATCACAGGATGAATGATTGCATAAATGATTGATTCAATGAGAATTCAAGTTGGCAGGATTTCAGCCTCGTTTTGATCTTTGATAAAAATCTTTGATAAATATTAACTCACCCATAATTCTCGGCAGTCGGTCTTGGCCACTGTTGCTGAGCAGCGTAGTAATTCTCGCTATAGTTGTAATGCTGAGGATAGCCAGCCGTGGTTGCTGCGGCCGCAGCCACCGATGCTTGTCCATAGCTCTGATAACTTTCAGCACTGCTACCGTAGTGCTGTGTTTGAAAGGATTGCAAGCTCATTGTATTGAAAGCGTTTAATTGTTGACTGTTCAATTGTTTGCGAAGCCTGGCTCGCCTGTTGCTGAACCACACTTGAACACGTGCCTCGGTCAAATTTGTTCTGGAATAACAATAAGATCGAAAATTCTAGATTAATTACTTTATTAAATTATAATAAAAGAAACAAATTAGACAAATATAAATATTGCGTTCTTATCTTTTCTCTCTCTTCCCTCCTCCCTTTTTTTTTTTTAATTAAACGTTTGAATATTACACTTTAAAATGCAAAAAATATAATTACTTTTGAGCCAATTCTTCCCTGGTGTACACATCGGGATATTGCGTTCGATGAAAAGCTGCTTCGAGTTGTTCCAATTGTTCACCGGTGAACGTAGTCCTGCTTCTACGTTGCTTCCTCTTCAAAGCGATTCCCGGTTCGCTCTCTGTATCCGAATCGTCACCACTACTTCCACCTGTAAAAACAATATACACAACGAATATATATTAAAACGCCTGTGTACGAAAAAAAATTTGCACAAAAAAATCCAGATCGAGAATAAAACGAAGCTTTCTACCCAAGAGTAAAAACTTGAAAAGATTGTTGTTCAAAATAAACCCTCAATACCTGAGAATACTTTAAACGATTGACTCATCGTGGAAAAAAAGGAAAACTTCTCAAATGAGCGCGCTCGACAGATGCTTAACCTTGCATCTTTCGTAATAAACAAATCTCATGGATCTCGAAGCGAAATTAATTATTAGAAACCGTTTCCTTCGTCCGCGCGAAAGAAGGAATTGGAAATTCCAGCATCGGTTCCGTCTCTTATCGGCGAGGGGAATCGACAAGCAAGGTAAGGTCGAAGAGATATCGTGGATAGATGTTGCGGAGCACGCTTCTTAATAGCGGCAAGACGGTCTCCCAGTCCCAGCACGTGCTGCACGTCAGATACCGAAGATAGGAAGCGAGTCGTACACGCCCACAGTTCACACGCCGGACTCTGCAACCCGCCATTAAGGCCCTCCTGATTACAGCCGTGCCAGCCGAACCTATACTAAACTAAAACACCGGAGAAATTAGGGTCCGCCGCGAAGAAATTAAGTTCTTTGACATGTCCCGTCCCACCCGAGCTAAACGAAAGCCTGTCCAACGTCCAGCAACGGGGGATCCGTTGCCTTGTCTCTTCGCTCTTGAGCGCTCGCGAGCACCGTACCGGAAATCTCTTCTTCTTTCGTCCATCCAATCGAGTTTGAGTTTTACGACAACGTAATTGCGAACGCGCCTGCTCTCACGTTAATTTCTTCGCCCCTCTGTGCTCCTTGGTTTGGAGGTTAGGTCAGGTTAGAAAACTTAGGGATAAATATTCTTTTTGCCATACGTGATTGGTAGAAAGGGAAGAAAAGTTTAAGGAACTTGAATTATAAATACTTTAGTTTACTTGAAATAATTTCTTTTTCGTTATATATATGTGTGTGAATATATAGTTTTGGATGAAAATAGATTTGGAATTTTTATTATTATATTCTGAATATAAAGGTCAATTGAATATATGATAAAAATGAAATTTGAAAGATAGAAGAGTTGATTATTTTAATTTATATTCTGTGCGTGTATTTATCTTAAAGAGTTGACATTAATTTAATATCTCGATTAGAAAATGTCAATTAATGTGTAAATTAATAAAATAATTCTTTCTTAAAAATAAAAATACTCGAAATCCAAATTTCTTTAAATTATGAATTTAGAACGAATTTATCGTTGATTTTAGTTATACGCGCATTTTTGCGTAATAATCATTTACGTTTTTGCTTTTCCTTTTGAACTCCGCATCGGCAATTTATGCGTCGATTTCTGAATTAAGTCGATCGATCGACGGGAACGAACGTCTAAATCAATAGCACCTGCGCGAACGTCAGCTCGAATTCATGAAGTTGAACGCCGCGAAGTGCACGGCGGTTTCTTCGAGATTAAAGACCTCGCCGCGGCCGTAAATTCTCGTGACGGTTTGAGCAGAACATCTAACCATTTCTCGAAGCCTTCACGCTTTCCACGACCAGTCAACGCTCGCCTATATCGCGGTTTCGTTCAACAAATAACAGAAAACGTCTTGATTGTTCGCGCTTCGTTGTTTACCCAATCTGTCATTTTTTCTCTATTCTTTTACCTAATTGCGAATTTGCCGATTCAAATTCTCGTCATATGAACAACATGATCGAATTATATTCATTTTTTAAAATGTTCCTTTATCGCGATATAGAATTATTCATCACGATACGTATGGTTAGAAATTAATAATCTATTATTTATTTTCAAAATCCATAATTACAAATTTGTTTGATCGATCAAAATTGAATTTATAAATTCCACGATTATCCTTTACTTTGGATTCATTTCTGTTAAACACACGGAAAAAGAATCTCCACGTTCCAAAATTCGGCCATCGAAACAAATATCGTTACGAGATCTACAACAGATTGTCGACAATGTGCACAGCCAGGAGAACCGCAAAGGGTGAATCGTCCAAAAAACCATGTAAACAATTACTGGTCGGGATGGACAGTTATTATCATTATCCCTGACAGTTTCGCCCGACTACCAAGATCAGCGGAACGTCTAAATCAATAGAGGCCGAACCCCGTTGTTCCTCGAAAGAAAACGGCAGGCTTGGCACGGTGTTGGCGGTTTGTAAGATTAGAGGCAGCCGGATACGGAGCACGAGAGACCACACGCCGCGTGTGTACGCGTTCTTCCACCTCGTGTCCTCTCCTTCCGCTCTCCCGCCCGACCTTCTACCTTTTTACCTTTTCTTCTTCTGGCGCGGTTTTTTGCGCGCTCGCCACCTTCTTCTTCTTCTTTTTTTTTTTTTTACCTTTTCGTTTTGTATCAACTGTTCGTTTCGTTTCGTTTCTAACGAGGACGACGGGTTAAAAAAAAGTGCTCGGGTCGAGCGTTTGCATATACGATTCCGTTTAAAAGATAATGGCATTTGAATCGTGGAAACTTGGGAGAGGGGCAGATATTATATACATTTTTAATAACATTTGATAACAGGAATGATTATTATTCGTAATATTGTTAATTCGATTTAATTAAGGAAAAGAAATAACTAATAATTGCTAATAATGATTATTGAATCGATAAATCTTTATTTCAACGAGAAAAAAGATATGATTGTTTTTGCCAAGTGTAAACGATAAAACATACAACTTATTAGTTTACTCGGGTAGTTTAATCGAAACATCATAATTACTTTTTGAATTTTTTTCGAGTTTCAAACACGATTATCTTTATCAAAAAAGAAAAAGAAAAGGAACTGCATCGATTCCATTATCAACCATTCGAATTGAAAGGAAAATATCACAATTATCATTAGCACGGACAAATTAATTTCCAGGAGGCGTGGATTATCCGTTTCGCGGAACGGTGAGAGAAGAATTGATTCGCCTGATGAGGAATACACCAACCAAGATTTATCCCTTAAGAAAGGAAGCGCAATTGTAGCCGGCCCATTACCCCTCTGTAATTTTATTCCAAGGAAAATATGATCGTGAGAATACAAACTTCGCTAAATCATGCAACATTTCACTTAGAAGACACCTTATTCCAGATTCCATTCCGAACTCGAGACTACTTGTTCTACAACGTAATCTGAGGGGCGAAAATGAAGATTTGTTCGTTTGTTACGCGATGGCGCGAACCGATCAACAGGTAGGGGCCATCCAAGGGTTCTTGCGTCGGGGTTGCAATTCCAGGCGTACATCTAATCAAAACTAAATCTTCCCGACAAGGTAATAAACTCGACACATCTACGCGCCACGGGACGCCTAATATTTCTTCGTGAGGTTCACCGCGCCAATAAATAAAAAAGGAACGAACTCCCTTTACGTCCGCCGGCCGGACCTATATTCCTGTTAATAATCTCTTCCTGCCTCCCTCTCCCCTCTCCTTTCCCACGAAACTATTCAAACTTCGAACGAGCAAAAGTTTCGCGATGAATAGTTTTATCCAATGATATTCATCACGGTGATTCCATCCGGCGATAGAGAGGATGGGCAAAGTTTTGGTTTTTCGCTATTTTTCGTTTCGATAAAATTTATACGATCGTTATTCTCCCTCTGCCACTATACTTTATATCATTCGTTCGCACGAATTATTTTTTAACACGCAAAATTGTTCAGATGTTCAAGTCATTCAAGTCGTGAGCTTCGGGGCTTTCGTCGCGCAATTCATTCTCCTGTGAAGTATATCAGTAATCATCGGAAAAAGTCACAACGAATCGCGTTACTTTTTTTCAACCAATCGAAAATATTACCAATAAGTATACCCGTGCGTGTCATTTATCGTTGCGGTCGCATTAACTCGATTGATACAGACGCGCACTGTAATCACGCTTATCGCTTCGAACGTTTCATTTACCGTCGATCTACCGGTTTACGCGGCGCTAAAAACCACGAGCTTTACACGAGGTATCGATCGTGAACATCTCTATTCCGATTCCTGCCAAGGTTAAGTTTTCTTTATCTATCGATCTTTTTCTTCTATGGAGCTCGGGATTGAGTTGAAAAATTAAAAATATCGATACGAATTTGTACTTAATATAAATTGTATATGGTATAAAATTGTGTGAAAATAATTTTAGAAAAAGACGATAGGGGAAGACTCACCGAGTATTCCGTCGATGGAATGATTTCGTCGAGGATCATCCCCGGGACGGGTCTGATTCGTAGGACCACGAAGAAGCCTCGAGATACTGGAAACTGACGGTGCTGACGCCTTGTCACAGATACCATCCTGCTGGCAGAACCACGTTGGACCAGTTAGTATACTAATGAAAATTGATCGAACTTTATTTTCTTATTTTTCATTGAATCTTCAATTTTTACACTTTAAAATTTATAATTTACAATTTAATATTATTTAATTATAGGAAAATTGAAGGTTTGTTAGTTGTATTGTTTTAAAATTCTTATTCCTTTTTCTTTTTTTTTGGTATATTCAAAATATTTTTTATGAGAAACGTATATATATATATATCTTCAAAAGGAATATATTATTGAATTCAATGTATGAGCAAAGCAAAAGTGAAACCTTTCTGAAAATTTCTAGCTTCTAATATTATCTATATGATTAATGCTAATTTTTGATTTATCACAAGTGATTTATCTTGTAGTTGCTTAATCTAGCTCAATATATTTACATGTCATTAGTTATTATTTATGATTTCTCCTGTCCAAAAGTTTCATATTATATTATTAGACAATGCAGATGTTTACGCAAAATCTAATAATCTAAAAAATAAGGCAAATTCGTTTCTCTTCGATCGTACAAATTTTTAATCAATTTGCACAAACATTTGCAATCTATCTATCATACAGACATTATCAACAGACCTTTATCAATTTCTCTCGAATCTCCCAGCTGAATATCCCGGGATTTTGTCTCTTCATATCCTCGATTCTCGCCTCGACTTCCGGCGTGGCAACTCGTGGTTTGCTACCACCTATCACACCCGGCCTTATCGATCCTGTTTCTTGATAACGATTCAAAATCTTCGACACACACCCATGCGAGACTCTCAATTGTCTGGAGATCACGCACGGTCTAACCCCGGCTGCCGCCATTTCTACGATTTTTAAGCGAATGTGATTCGGCAGTGGACGCCCATTGATGAAAACCCCTCCAAGTTGATTCACACGACCTTGTCCTGGAACAAGAAGGAAGATAATGTAGAATCCGTGGATGGAAGGTGTATTAACCACGATTATGACTTTCAAAGGAAACTGTGTGAATTAATGTGCGGATTAGATACACACAGGATCAAATTTTCTTAAATTTTTAAATTCTAAGTTAAAATTATTTAATAACGCATAATTGAACGGTGGAATTTGTCTCGTGCAAGATTTCTGGAGATTGTTGAAAAGCATTTAAAATAATTTAACTTTAAGGATTTTTAATTAAGACATCGTTACGAGTTTCTTAAGTTTCTTCGAGTTTCTTTCTTCATCGTTAAGAGACTTAAAGATGTCTTACAAATAGGTAATTATTTTTGTGTTGTATAATTATTATTAATTATATTGCTACACGTTTTCAATATACAGTCAATAGGATAGTCTCTCCTAATTTGAAATATTCTGATTTGTGATACGACATGTTTAAGATGTCCGTATAATGTCTCCATGCCTACCTATCCGTGTAAATTATTGCACCTCTTCTCTTAAGTATTACAAGAAAAGAACGAAAAATTTATTTCCATCTAGAGAAAAGAACGAAAAATTTATCGAACTTCCAAAAATCAATAAGAAACAAATATTTTGATATGGAATGGAGGCACGTTAAAAGTGAATGCTTATTCAATAAAATGATGTGCTAATTTCCTTCGTTTTTACACAATCAAAACTTTATGCGAAAATTCTTTTTGCTCGTGTGAAAGAAAATAAAGAAAATAATAATTAAAATTCGAGATTAATTAAATTTAATGTTCTAATAATTCGATATTTCATTTCAAGAAGCGAAAATTAAAATGAGAACCGATTAATTAGAGTATGGAAAGAGCTCGTACAAGTAGCGCCATGCGAAAATCATCCGGCGTACGTTTCTGTAACATGTGTTAATTAATTTCCCTCATGGTCCTCGTCAATTTGTATATTCATCGTAAATTTGCATTAAAACGAAAAACGACTGTCGCCGCAACAAGCAAATGGCCACGACTTACTACATCGCGATATAAAGTTTACGACGCGCTCCGGTAATTGGATGCGATAAAGAACCATTGTTTCAAACGCATTGCTCGAGGGGGTGCAAGAGTTCTCGTAAGTCTTCCCGTCTATAACGTCTTATTTCTTAGAGTAATCCTAGACGAAACGTTGAACTCTATGTCCGTGTCCGTGGATATTTTATCCGCTATCCGTCTCTCCAATCCTGTGATAAGAAAAGATGGATATTGCAAGTGATTAACTTAACGATTCGAAACCTACAATAGCATGGTTACTAGGGTGGAACGAAATGTACTGGCAAAATTCTTTTTTTCCTAATCACTATTTTCCTAAGTTTCTTTTCAAGATACTGCAAATATTAATTTACAGAATTGATTTTATTAAATTTTCTTTATTAGTAATTCGAAATAATTTAACTTCAACTTTCAGCAAATAATGTTTTTTATTGCACAAAATTAACAAATGGTATTTTGTAAAAGTTAAAATTAAGTCAATTCGATCAAAAGTATGATTTGGAGATGCATACGACGAATACATTATGCAATTTTTGGAATTCAATAATAGTACAGCGAACAAACCTTAAGATTACTCTACAAACTATAAATAATCCAATAAGGCAAAAATTTTGCCAATTTTAACTTAATTATCAAACGAAGACACGTATTTCATGTAACACGCAAAAGTATCAACCAACCGTAACAACCAATAGAAGACGTAATGGATCAATATCGATCTGAAAAGAAAAAAAAAAGAAAAGAACTCTCTTCCAATGGTGGAAAAAGAAAAAAAGAAATAGGCAATCGTGGAGAGAGCGAGGCTAACGACTCGCTAAAAATTGATAATCATCGTAGTAATGGGCCTGTCGTTACACCGAGGTCCACCATCGGTAACACCTGCTACGAAAAACTTCTGCTAATTACCACGGCATAATTCAAAAAGGCAGCACCCCACCAGCGCCTCCATCGGCCGTTTCGTGGTGCCGCCAAAGTAGTCCCGTTTCGTCATTCATCAACTCCGCGAGATTTACATCCCCCACCCCTTCGGGCCCCGTATGGCCCGTAAGGACATATCCACAAGCGCGTGCAACGCACACACCGCACACTTAGGCGGTATCGTCGCGTACGTACCGGCCCTCGGACACCTCTCATGACGTCAGTCAGGCCGCGGGGCCCGACGGGATTACAGGCAAGATCAAAAGGCGCCGACCGCCGCCGCCGACTCGATCTCTCTCCCTCTCTTTCTCTTCTCCTCGCTCGCTTCTCCTCTTCGTCGAGTCGTGAGCTCAGGCCCAAAACGGGCTCGAAGCCCTGGTCACGGGTTGGGTCTCTCCTTCCCCTTGGGCCCTACTCGTGCGACAATACGTGAAATTTTCTGCATAACCAACCTCCGTGACCTCCGTTACGAAACGTAGTGGATATTGTATATCGTGAATCGATGGATTAACTTGTAATCGGTGATCTGGCTTGGTGTGTGGGATGAAGATGTAGAATTGTGGGATGGATGTGTTGAAATTCGTGTTTGTGCCGAAGAGAATTTTTAATTTTAAATTTCTGGCGATGCTTGATTAATGCAATTTGAAAAATTTTCGATTCGAAAATTATTTTTGATGGAAAATTGATACGATTTTGGTAATTTTAATTTGTGACGATGGAAAAGTGTTGATCGATCCTTATGTTTCTTGATTCATTTTTGGTATTATATTTGGTATTAGTAGTATGAATAGTTGGATGGGGATAGATTAAGATGGATTAATTGGTTGATGATAGATGAGTTGAACTTTGTGTTTATACACGATTAATATTTTTGCACAATTTTCTGATAATGTTTTGCACGAATGTAGTTGGATCAAGAAACTTTTGATCCAAGGATTATTTTTGATTAAAAATTGGCGCGATATCTCTTTTAAAGAATTTTATTAATTTGATAAAAACTTGATCCAACTTAAAATAAAATAAATCTAATCTAATATAACCCCTAATCTCAAATGCAATAATACTGATAAAAGTACCTTTACGACTCCTATTCCCATATGTAATAAACTTTGTGATTGATTCTTCTCTGAATTTAAATACATATAATGGGAACAAGATGGACGTAAAATTCTCGTTTGTTTCATAACTAAGCATTGTACGAACCTTTCGTAACTCGTATGATTTTATTTACGCTTTAATGGACTTTAACACGAGTCACGGATCTGAATGTTCGACAATCAACCGCGTGAACAAGTCTTTTAGTTCTGTTTTCATTCCTTCTCGTGGTGAATATCGATGAACGTTCATTACAGAATCCCAGCAAAACCCTCGCGAATTATTCTAGGCATTCTTAAACGATCATTTTATCTTCGTGATCTTCATTTTCTTTAAAATTATTATTTTCAAATACCAGAATAGAATTACTATAATGAAAATATTATTTATATTAATTGTACGATGTTTAATTATTCAGTTTGGAATTTGTTTTAATGTATTTTTTTCTTTCTCGAAACAATCAATTTTAATCCATTAAGATCCAATATTGCACCAATATATAATTAATTTTGAAAGTATTACTGGATTTTTTTTTTTCTATAAAAATTATTCGAACGTAATTTTAAAATACTTTTTTTGACAACTGATTTTATTTCCTATTTCCAGATTTATGATTTATGACTTGTATCAAATAAATTTCAAGTTGTTTAACTCCAAGTAACGAAAGTAACAATTTTTTGAACTATGAAAAAAAATTTAATTCAATTTCCTTTCCTACGAATGACTCGATAATTCCTCCTCTTTTATATCGTTACATAAAATCACAGCAACTTCGATTCTTTTTAAATCTAATCGCAAAAAAAAAAAAAGAAAAGTCCAATCTTTACAATTAAAAATTAATTCAAACCATAAATCTTCTTTCCAAATTGTTCTTATCCAATACGCTCAAAAACTATTTTCATTTACATCCTAATTGATATAATTAAGAGACCTAGCTAACTCCACGTGTTTTATTTCTAAATCCGGAACGATGACATTACTTCCTTCAAAGCGATTCAAAAGAATAAAAAAAAAAAAAACTTTCGACTCATTAACATGCTTGAAAACTTTATATCTCGTCGCGGAGGTAAGACCACCCTGTAGAAAAGATAAAAGAGGGCCGATCGAGTGCGGAATGATCGAGAAAATAATTTCCAGCATGAATTATTGATAACAGGTAATTGATTGTGGGCGATCACGCTAATATCCATGATCGTGCCGATATGAAGCGATAGGGGCTTCCCCGATTTGAATTCGCTCGACGCAACTCGCATGATTAAAATTTACCTTCGGGCACCGTTTGCGTTGGACAATGATGTGCTGGTATTTGTTGGACAACACCTATTTGACTAGGAATAGCCGCGATCAAGTGCTTTAATTTATCAAACTCGAGCCTCGAGAAAAAACTACCGTCACCTTCTGTCATCAATAACGAAGATCCTTTTTTTTTCCTCTCTTCCTTTCTTTTTTTCTTTTTTTTTTTTTTTCGACGTTATTACGCGTCATTGTGCCATAAAATTTTATCTTCGACATGTTACGTGATATCGTAACGACATTTTACTACCCCTATATTATCCCTGTATTACTTATTTTGCAAATTCATTACACTGTCATACACGCGTTTTAAGGTTATATCTATTTTATGCAAGATGTCTTTTCTTTGATAGAGAATAATAATCTTTTATGTTCTGAGAGCTTCTAATATGTATTAATATGTAGTTAAATGTTAAGTAATGCCTTCCTTAAAAGAAGGATAGGATCTTCTAATATGTGTTTTAACGAGTGCTTAAAAGTTAGAAGAGAGTTGTAAGATTAGAAAGAGATTTTTTTTTTTTTTGCTTAAGAGAAGAGATGAGTCTTTATTAACGTTTCCTGATCATTAATGATAATCTTATCGATATTATTTCTTCTCACTTCTCTCATTTGATATTCAAAAGATTCAACGAAGGAGAAAATTTAGTGTTTAAATAATTATTTTTAAAGAT